CTGATTTCTTAGTTATTTAATATATATATATATATATATTATTTTATTATGTATAATATGCAGAAAAATATAAAATAAATAATAAATATAAAATACGTATTTGTGCATAAAGTAGAGATCTTAACCTAAGTATGTATCTCTTTAATTATTTAAAATCTTAAATATTTTCTAAATTTCATGTCAAAACAAACAAAAGAAATGAGAATAAATTCAAAATAAATATTTATATCGAGTGATAACCAAAATATAAAAAAAAACATAGCAAAAGAAAAACGGAAGATAAATAGGATTGACACGTGAACGTAAACTTCTCATAACCATAATTAATTTTTAAATTGTTAAATCATGATATAAAACTGAGTTAATTTTTAATTTGTTAATTTTTATTTTTTTAATTTTTAAATCATTATGGTATGTTAAATCCTGACCATAATTAATTTTAAATTGTTTATTTGTATTTGAAAAACTTAAAATATTGTTTAAAAAAAAATTAAAATTTAACATAATTTTGTATAAAATTATTTTAAAAAATAATAATTTTAAAAAAATATAATTTTCTAATATTATTAGACAAATAAATAAATTATATTAAATTAGTTTTGAAACTTTATATATTTTAAATGAAAATATTTTACCAATTGCTTCTTAAAAAACATTAGGGAACTTGCTAATACTCTACCAATCAAGCCCAATGACACTCCATTTATTTTCCATCACTCGAACACCGAAAAATAAAAAGATATATGAAATCAGATCCATTAAATTCTAAGATTTGATATACATTTCTAATTAAAATTGTTTCTGGTCATACGTATAGATAATTATATAAAAATTGAAAAATTCTAAAATTTCAAATACATACAAAACAATCATATGTAAATTTTAAATTTGTCACTACTAAAATTTTCTATTTTAATTACATATATTCACCCTACGCAAGTCGCAGGTCTTATCCTAGTATCTTGTTATAAAAAAAGTTGGTGGACCCTTTCTCCCTTCTTGATGCTCCCCAAAATAAATCCCTAAAGCTCCCCAAAATTTTCTTTCTCGGCTTTTTCTCCTTCACCTACAAAAGACCCTCCCCCCCCCCCCTCCTTCTCCCTATCCTTCACCAATCTAGACAGTCACTTACTTGTGAGATAAACCTGGCTGGGGTACATAGATTTATCTTCACGGCTATTTACGCCTCAAATCTAGCTGAAGACCGTGCTGACCTGTGGGTGGACCTCTTGAATATTCAGCAGCTTCTTCAACTTGACTCTAACCCTTGGGTTGTTGGAGGAGATTTTAACCAGATTCTTCACCACGCTGAACACTCTACCCCTCTTGTTTCCCACATTGATCCTCCTATGTCGGATTTTAGGAACACCTTAACTCAACTTGGACTCTTTGACCTGCGATATCTCGGCCCTTGTTTTACTTGGAGCAACAAAACCCCCTCCAAGCCTATCGCAAAGAAACTCGATCGTCTGTTAGTCAACCATCATTGGATATCCGCTTACCCCCACAGCCTTGCCTCCTTCTTACCACCTGAAACCTCTGACCATTCCCCTGCTATCCTAGACCTTTCCGTAGACCTTCCCAGAGCTGGTACTAAACCTTTCAAATTCTTCAATTACTTAACCAAACACCCGGACTTCTGCCAATTGGTTGGTCTGGCGTGGAATCAGTTCGGAGGAGATGGAGTGGATCTCTCTCATCTTTGCTGGAAACTTAAACAGATAAAGAGAGATTTAAAGAAAATAAACAGAGAGAATTACTCAAATATACAGAAGAGAGTGAGAGATACTAACTTCTTGTTACAACTTGCGCAGGTTAAAGCATTAGAGGACCCTTCACCAACAACGTTCCAGGAAGAGAAAAATCTATGTGACAAGCTTAATTTTTTGAGAGTTATTGAGGAAAGCTATTTCCGGCAGAGATCGCGCATTATCTGGCTTAAAGAAGGAGACCACAACACAACGTTCTTTCACCATCTCACTCAAATCAGGAACTCCTACAACTCAATCCGGTGGTTTTGTCTTGCCAATGGTGACCAAATATCCGACCCCATTGCGATGGGAATAATAGCAGTCTCCCACTTCAGAGATATATTGGCACCACAAAACCCACCCCCTACTTCTTCCTCTGTTCAGTGGTATCAGGATCTCTCTGATTTCAGATGCCCCCCTCAACTCCACGATACTCTTGCTCAGCGACCTCTACATGAAGAAATAAAAAAATGTGATGTTCAAACTCAATGCAAGCAAAGCACCTGGCTCTGATGGACTGACCTCAGGTTTCTTTAAGGCAGCTTGGTCAATTGTAGGACCTGATGTAGCCACGGGTGTTCTCTCTTTCTTTGATACTGGCCACCTTCCTCCCTCTTCCAATGCAACTATTCTATCGCTGGTACCCAAGCACTCTGGAGCGTCTATGATAAGTGACTACTGTCCTATCTCATGTTGCAACACCATCTACAAGCTCATATCAAAAATCCTTGTGAAGTGCCTCAAGCCACTGGTCCCTACTCTTATCCTACCAAACCAGACATCATTCGTTCAAGGACAGATACTAGTAGAAAACACAGTTTTGGCTTTGGAAATAGTACATGGTTACCACAGAGACAAAGGCCCAAGCTGAATTACCTTGAAAGTTGACATTGCCAAGGCTTTTGATACAGTCAACTAGAGCTTTATATTTAACTGTCTGCTTGGCATGGATCTTCCGAATCATTACGTTCAATGGGTTCATGCGTGTGTAACTTCCCCTAGCTTTATGGTTGGCTTCAACGGTACGGAGCAAGGCTATTTCAAGAGCAACAGAGGCCTAAGACAAGGCGACCCTCTCTCTCCATACGTTTGTAATAGCCATGAACTGTCTTTCATTGTTATTGGACAAAGCAGCAGAAGATGGAAAGTTTGGTTACCATTATGCTTGTAAAGAGACTAAACTAACTCACCTCTGTTTCGCAGATGATTTACTTATCTTCTGTGATGGTTCGCTCCAGTCCATCAAAGGCGTTCTTGATGTACTTGAAAACTTCAAGCAACTATCTGGACTTTCTATGAGCATCACCAAAACATGCTTCTTTGCATGTGGTGTTCCAGCGCCTGAAACTGCGCAAATTGTTGGTCAGTGTGGAATAACACAAGGCACGCTTCCTATAAGGTACTTAGGAGTCCCACTTGTCACCAAAAAGTTAACAATTTCGAACTATGAGCCATTAATCCAGCAAGTAAAAAACAAAATTAACTGTTGGACTGCAAAGACGCTGTCATTTGCTGGGAGACTGTTGCTAATCAACACTGTAATTGCTGGGATCTCTAACTTTTGGTGCACTACATTTGCTATCCCTAAGAAATGTATTCAGCTCATCAACTCTCTATGTGGTGCTTATCTATGGAAAGGTACTACAGAGGGTAATCATTCAGCAAAAGTTTCATGGGAGGCAGTTACCTTAGCGAAGGCAGAAGGTGGCTTAGGTATCAGAGACTTGTTCTTCTGGAACAAGGCTTGTTCAATCAAACTACTTTAGATGTTATTCTTCCGTGCAGGTTCCATTTGGGTCGCTTGGTTTAGAAGAAACATCCTTTCAGGAGACATAAGCAACCTATGGACCTTGAAAGAAAAACAGACTCATTCACCAACTACTAAGAAGATCCTCCGAGTTCGTGCTCGGGTATTTAGTTGGATAAAGATCTCACCTGGGGATGGTCGAAACACGCGCTTCTGGACAGACAACTGGACCCCCTTTGGTAACCTCAGAACTTACCTCCACCTTCCTCTCAACTCAAGTCTCGGCATCAGACCAACAGTAACTCTTCCTGACCTATTCAGAAATGGCTGCTGGCGTCTTCCGCATCCTCGTTCCGAAGAGCAAATCTCCCTTCACGCCTTTCTCTCCACAATCGTCTTAACAGAGGAGAGAGATGAACTCACTTGGTCGCCACATGGAACTCAATCTTCTTCATTCTCCACTGGAATGATCTACAATGAAATCAAGCATCATCGTCTGCAAGTTCCCTGGTGCTCGGTTGTTTGGTCTGCTAGAGGAATCCCGAAACATAACTTCCTAGCTTGGCTCATGGTGCTCAACCGCTGTCCAACAAAAGACATAATGATTAGTTGGGGTTTCCAAATAGACCAAACCTGTCTTCTTTGCAATAATGCAGGAGAATCAAGGGACCACCTATACTTCGAATGCTCCTTCTTTTGGGATTTGTGGTCAAACTTGGGTGTAAAGGCAAGTTGGAATCCGACAAGAACTTGGTCATCTGAATTCGATCGCCTACAGTCATCAACGTTAGCCAGGCATAGAAGACTTCTGATCCAATTGGCATGGCAAGCAACGATCTATCTCCTGTGGACTGAGCGTAACCACATACACCACCGCCAACAATTTCGTTCTATCTCCTCTCTAGCCACTCAGGCGGATCATCTAAACAGAAACAGGATCTCAGGCTTTCGAGGAGAGAATGCCTCTCTAGCTTCCAAGATGCTTCAGCAGTGGTTCAGCCAGCACTCTCCTTCCTGATCAACTCCCTCTTCTCGTGATCATCGTAATCAGCGATGAAGCATCTATCCCTATTCCCCATTTTTTGTCTAATTGGTTCAGTAACATTTCATTAGGGCCCTGGCACAAGTCTCAATTATCTAGAATCCAATGTAATGGGAAAAGCCCAACAACTGCCTGCAAGGCCTTTTAAATTTATGCAAAGCCCTTTCTCAAAAAAAAAAAAAAAAAAATTGGTGGAGGTCACACTTAATTATAACTTATAGGTAATGACAGTGTTGCCAAATGCCAATATTCAAAATCGTATTTCCTCAAGAACATCATCTTACCAAGAACCTATAGTCATGTCTCCGACGGTCCAACCTAATTAAACTAATGAAGAGTTGAGCAACTAAGATATATGATCTCTCAATACTCAACTGCTTATCAAATATAACTACCATTCAATGTTCAAATGAACAATAATCAATCGGTTTGAGATTCACAATTCAATCAGTTTGAGAATCACAATTCGAATATAGAAAGACTTGGTTGCCTTTCCCGCTGGCCCTACTAAAACTTTGCGCTCTATGCAGTGCCAGTCCAATATTATTACATGTCCTAAACAAACTTTTAGTAATATATTTTTAAAATCATGCTATATTTTTATAAAGTAATTCAAATTTATTAATGCTTAATGAAAATAACTTCATAAAATTAATTTTATACCAATGATAGCCAGTATTTTCATGCAATATTAGGTTGATTGCATAAAGTTATTGAAACATAATATTAAAAAGTCTAAAAAACAGAAATTAACAAAGAAATTAGGGAAGTTAACTCAAAGAGTATGAATTTTAGTACTTATTATCCCAACCATACAAAACTTTTTTTTTTATTACTATCTTTTTTTAATACCCAGCGTGCCCTTTTTTTACTTTGTGAGAAAAAAAACGTATTTACAAGAATGTCATTATTTTTTTGTGCCACGTAGGCAAAAAATTGGCTCCACGTAAGACTATCTACAATGGTTTCAACACCCTCCCCACTTTCAACACCCTTATTTTTTCTTTTTAACATTCCACATCATCTTCTCTTTCTTCCACATCATTTTTTCAACATCCACTTCATTTTAAACCTCTACAATGGTTTGTTTTAAAAAATTCAACACCCTAACCCACAATTTTTAATTCATATTATTTATTTTTCTTACAATATAATAATAATTATATATTAATAATTAAATTAAAAACTAAAATAACATAATTTTTAATAATATATATTTTAAATTATTATAAATAGTTTATTTTTTATATAATACAAAATAAATATTAATAAAACAAATAAAATTAAGAATATATTTATTTTTAGTTAGATTTTTACCTAATTTTATTTTTTTAAATACGAAAATTAATATAAGTAAAAAAATTAAAATTTAAAAACTTTAAATACACATGATACAAACACACATTATTAAGAAATTTTAAACACACACGATACAAAGCAAGCAAAATAAAAACACTTAACTTAGTTACTACAATATACTCTTATTAAACTGGAAAAAATTAAACTCTTAAAGCACACACATAATTTAACCATGAAAACATTTCAAATTTTGCCCATATGTGTTTGACCAGATCTGATTGCAATTCATGGTGTACATTTGAATCACGTAATTCAGATCTAGCACGTACATGATTTGCAAATATTGGTAACACTTCAGTAGAAAATGGTTGTAGTGTACTCGAACCACTTGCCTCAGATTGATCATAGTCGGTCCAGTGATGAGTATATGTATCTCGTTCATCCTCGATAATCATATTATGCAATATGATACATGATCGCATGATGATAGCCAAATATGATATCTCTCACATGCGAGCTGGTTCACGAATAATTTTGAATCGAGCTGTTACTCTAAATAAAAATGTATAATATTAATTAATCCAAAAGGTATAAATATATTTACTTATTTTTGCTATAGCATTTAAGTCTATTTTGGTTATTTTGATTTTTAAATATATATTTGTGACAAAAACTTTTTTAATCGTAGAGAATTTATCTAAGGAGTATATTACAACTAATATATATGTTGGAACCATTTTGTCGCCGTTTTGTGATTTTGGTGACTTTAAGCACTATTTAGCAAACTCTCGCTTAAAATAGAAAACATTTTAGCAAAAATGCACTATTTAGCAACTAACTAATGAGTTGCTCTAAGCCATTTCTTCACTCTCATTGATCTAGGGATAAGTACAATCCGAGTATTTGGTGTTTTCAGTATACTTAGTACTCGGCTTAGCTTGTACGAGTATTCAATTTTTGGACTTTTATTTGGTTTGCCAAAAACGAGTATTTACAGTTTCAAGTACTTGCGAAAAATTGATGTACTTGCAAGTTACTTGCCTTGTTTTATTACTTGTTATTTGTAAAGTTTCTTTATTTGATAACTATTGATAAATTATTTGATAGTTAGTTAAAATTTAAAGGTAAATAAATTTATTATATATAAATAATATGTCATTGTTTTCATTTTGTCATTGTTTTTCTGATTTTAATTATTCGTGAAATAGATTATATTAAGAAATTTAAAAAATCCAAAATGTTTATATAAATATATCACTTATGTTTGATTCACTTATAAAATTTGAAATATAAACAAATTGTTTTACTATTATTCAGGAAAATGTATTTTTGATCATTGATAAAAATGAATAATAAACCAAACAACGCTGAATAATTACTTTTATTTTATTATTTTGTATTTGTTTGTTTTTGAAGACAATTTAAATGGACTACTTGATACACATCTTAATCAAAACAAGTATTCGACTTTAAGGATCGTATACTAACCAAGTAGCGAACATGATGCAAGTAATTGTGGCAACTCATAAAATACATAAATTAATTAATGAAATATATACTAAGTATTTAATAAACCAAATAATATATGACAAGTAACAAGTAAAAGATAACAAGTAATAAATCAAATAACAAACCAAGTAGTTCAAAATTAAAATGAATTTGATACTTGACTTGTACTTGCAAGTAATAAAATCCGTTTATTTGTTATTCGATTTAAATGGAGCAAGTACTTTTTTTTTCAAACCAAACCGAGTCAAGTAACGAGTACAAACCGAGTATCAACTATTTAGCACAAAAAAGCACTATTTAGCAACTGACTAATGAGTTGCTCTAAGCCATTTCCTCACTCTCATCGACCTCCACGATACGTCGCCGTTTGAAGCTCGAGGGAAGTGGACGTCGCCATCGTTGCAGAAATGAATGGGCCAGCAACTTAACAGGCCTGTAGGGCAATTATAATGGGCAATAAAGTGTGGGCTACCAAAATTAAATATATGTTAGACGAAAATGGGTTTGCACACTCGTTGTAGCCTCCTATATAAAGAAAGCGATTGAATTAGGGTTTCGGGAGCAGCCAGAGGAGGAAGACGAAGAGGAGCAGAAGCTTCAGCAACCATGGTTCTCAAGTAATCTCTCTTCTGATCTTATGCTTGTTGTTCTTCTTACTGATATAGCTTCTTGCAATGGGGTTTCTGTACGAGAATATGTTCTGCTAGAACTGGATCTGGTTTTGATTAATTCATGTTCTGTAATGACTTACGGAAGTATGAAACTCATTTCCTGAGTTGTAAACATGTATTAGTGGTGTCTGTTTTGGTATTAGATGATTCATTTCCGTCATGTTAGACTCAGATGTTTCAACTCCAGTGATATTGAACTTGTTAATCTTAGTTGCTAATGCTTAATGTGTGGCTGTCTTTGTGGTGTTTCAGGACGGAGCTTTGTCGTTTCAGTGGCCACAAGATTTACCCAGGAAGAGGAATCAGATTTATCCGATCTGACTCTCAGGTATATTTTGTTAATCTTTCTTTGAAGTACTTGTTGAGTTAGTCTCTAATCTCTAATTAATGTCTGTTTCTATGTTTTATCAGGTGTTCTTGTTCATTAACTCAAAGTGTAAGCATTACTTTCACAATAAACTGAAGCCTTCCAAGCTTTGCTGGACTACTATGTACAGAAAGCAGCACAAGAAGGTAAATAAAACTTTATTAGTTTGATTTTGTTTGTTTTTGTAAGAGGCTGCGTTGGATTATGATAATGACCCTGTTTGAAACTATGATATTTTTTTATAGGACGCAGCTCAAGAGGCTGTGAAGAAGAGGAGACGTGCCACCAAGAAGCCATACTCAAGGTCCATTGTTGGTGCTACTTTGGAAGTGATTCAGAAGAAGAGAGCTGAGAAGCCTGAAGTTCGTGACGCAGCAAGAGAAGCTGCTCTTCGGTCAGTTTTATTCTTTCTCAGTTCATTCAGTTGGAACAATTATTTAATTTCTAAAAACTGAGTTGGCTCCTAATGATCTCCTACAACAGTGATATCAAGGAGAGAATCAAGAAGACGAAAGATGAGAAGAAGGCAAAGAAGGCTGAATTTGCTTCAAAGCAACAGAAGATTCAGGCTAAGATCCCCAAGGCTGCTGCCAAGGGAGGTCCCAAGTTGGGAGGCGGTGGTGGCAAACGCTGATTAGCTCAAACCATATCTTGTCTTGCTGACCACTCTTTGAAGTTAATGTTGATTTCAGAATATTCTGCCGAACGTAGACCTATTGTTATTGGCGTTTTGTCTCTTTACTTTTGCAACTCTTATAATACTCTTATAATCTCAAGTTTTTGGTACCTTTCAATGTTCCTTTAATCTCAAACATAAAATCTACGCTACAACTTAAAACTTCTTCTCGTGCAGTTTCATTATGGATGTTCCATAAACAAAAAGGGGATATAATAAATTTTTTTCACGTCTCATCGAGCATGAGTGGAATTTTGGTGACGAGCTAAACTAATCACTTGCCTTACGTTCTACTGTACCTGATTTCACTTCAAATGCTATGCCAGAGATAGTTCAACTGGTTGTCTTGATCACTTGGCTTAACCAATGCGCAAGTCTAGATGAACCATGAAGATTAGGCAAGAACATTCATTATCTGTATTCATTATTTATCAAAAGGCAGAGCCACAAACCAAGGGAGATAATTTTATAATAACATATCATATAGAGATGTTTTGTAACTTCAAAAATATTATGATGTTACAGCTTATTGAATAATTTGTCTAGACATTGCGAACTCTTTTACCGTAGCTTAAATCTGAAAGGCAACGAAATGTATACCCAAGGAAAAAGAAAGGAATCATTAGAGACAACAAATCTCAAAAACCAAAAGCCACCACCGTAGATAAATATACTCACTCCGGCATAGTATCGAAGTAAGAAAAATATAGCAAATGTTTTTTTCTCCCATTTTGTTAATCCTCTAGCTCGATGATCTTGACCACAGATGCATCACCAACTTTCTGACACACCACTACTCTGTCATGTGACTTGATCACTCCAGCTTGTTTACCATGGTCTAGAGCAACCTTCAGGACTGACTCGTTCGTCGCACTTGTTGATTCCGCCTGCAACCAAAAGCATCATAGTTTTTTTACATTTGTTAGAACTTGAACCCCAAAAGTTTCAACTAAGAGTCTTAGAAGTCTTGTTCCAGACGGCAATTTGTTTCAACCAGGATATAAAACTCCAAGTTTATGCACAACTCATAGCACGAATAAGCAACAATCTTAGTCTTCAAGAATGATATATGTACCACATCTGGACTGTTTGTTGCAAAAGAAAAAATGATAAACAAAACTTACTGGGTGACGAGGATCAGCGAGCATGGGGAAAAGGCCTCTAACAATAAGTGACTGCCTCGCCTGATAAGAATCACACGGGTTAATAGCCTTAAACTATATCACACGCACTACATATATGTCACTACAATATAAAAAAGAAACCTCCCTACAACTCTGATATTGGAAAATAAACAATCACAGTAACCATTGATACAAACACATTTGAGGACTCGGTCTTATTGAACCGTCTCTAAGATTGATGACAGAATGTAGGTAAGATAAAGCAATAACCGTCTCTAAGTCCAAAAGCAATAACTATGTATATCATGTCTCCTTGGAAACCACCAACTTTTTATGGGAAAGACAAGGCTGTACTTTATAAACATGAGAGACTAGGTGGGGAAAATACCTCAAAGGCTCCACTAAAGCTCCATTTCAGCTGATTTGTCTTAACCCGGGGAATGACAACAGATATAACGGGCATTGTTGGCCTGTATTTGGCAATCAACCTGCACGGAGATCAAAGTAATAGCAATTCATTAGGCAAAAATGAATAGAACAAAACAAAACGAAAAACAGCTGAAGGCAAAACAAATGCTACGAACCTTGCTGCTCTTCCAGAAGAGGTGAAGCATATAATGACAGATGCCTTAACCTTGATTGCTGCTCGTACCTGACCAAGCGTGAATTAAGTTAGATCAGAAAATGTGATGGAAATTTATGTCTTTAAACCAGACAAATATAATGCTTCTTACAGCAACACAGAAACTTATGTCTTTACAACACAGAAGACAAACTTACAGCTGAAGAAGCAATGGATTCCAAGTGAGACATTGGTTCTCCTACATACTTGACAGTCTTCTTGAAGTACAAATCTTGATTGAAAACCTTCTCTGCCTATGACAGGTAAAGAAAATGAGTAAGAACAAAAACTGCTTAGAAATCTTGATTCAAGATGGTTGCAAGATGCATTGGATTTAAGGACGCAAGTAACAAAATGGAGTTACGATATCCAACATAAAACCTACCTCAGCACAGATCCTGCCTACAGTTGATATTGTCTCCACAGGGTACAAACCGCGAAGGGTCTCAGCACCAAGAAGAATTGCATCACTTCCTGCAAGAAGTAAGACAAGAAGAAGATATCTCAAGTTATGATCCATAAATAGGTTTTCTCATCACCAGTTCATAACACTTATCAAACCAAGTAGATTCTGCAATAAAATCTAAGAGGAACCACAAAAGAAGGATTCACATACCATCTAGAACAGCATTAGCGACATCTGTTGCTTCTGCACGAGTTGGTCGCAAGTTGTCCGTCATACTATCAACAACACGGGTAAGAACGGCTGGCTTTCCAGCCATGTTGCACTTGTAAAGAGCTGCCTTCTGAAACAAAAACACCTGCGGGAAAAACCAACCAATGTTATATTATAAAAGAGTGTAAAGTTTGGTGCGGGAAAATTTTATTTGAATGACCAAACCAACATACCTTTTCTGGGGGTAGATCAATACCCAAATTCCCACGAGAAAGAATAATGCCATCAGCTTCTTGTAGAATCTCGTCAAAGTGGTTAAGTCCCTATTAAATAGAATATCAGCCGCTTTCTCCTTACAAGAAAAATTACAGAGACATAGTATAAAGCAAAAATCAATCCACTGCATTGCACTCACCTCTACATTCTCAATCTTGGCAAATATTTGAGTTTGAGAGAGGTCACCCAACTTTTTAAGCATTTCACGGGTCTGTTATGAAACAACAATTGGTTATTGTTCAAGGAAGTACATATAAAGCTCAGAGTTAACAGTGCATACACAAAGTACGATACAACATCTGCAGGGTATCATAAAAGCACATACCTGGCGAACATCCTCCGCATGCCGACAGTAGGACAATGAGAGAAAATCGATTTTGTTTTGAACTCCCCATGTGCTTATAACCTAGACGATAACCAAGCCAAAAATATGGCCAGACACTCGAATGTGTGACAACAAGGAACAAAAGAAATCACAGGAAATTTTAGATGAGAAGCAAGCTGACCTCCTTATCTTTCTCAGTAAGAGTTGGCAGATCGATGTGAACTTGAGAGGCGTGCAAAGTGAAGAGAGAACCAGCCAGAGTAGCAGCATTCCTTGACAGGCAAATGACATCTTCTCCTTTAACTTCATCAACCTACAGTTTCGCTTGGTACATTAGTCTTACAACACATAAATTAAATTCTCTAAGACTTCATTCAACATAGAGAAACCAACAAAGCTTCAATTTACCTCGAGCCAAACAGAAGTTGTTTCGCTACCAGTGAAAAGGTATTGCCCAACAAAGATAGTGTCTCCTTTCTTCACAGCCTGAAAACATCACACAGCTACATAAGCAAACATACTTAAGCATCTAATAGATATATAACATCATCTAAATCTACAAAGCTAGTAAAGAACGAACCTTGGCAAGGCCATTAAAGTTAATGGGAAGGACTTCAGAAGACGCTTCTCGATCTTGACTGGGTGTCAAAGTAACAAGTCCGTCAGCTTTAAGACTAATAGCATTCCCAGACTTGTTGATAACTTGCAGCTCAGGTCCCACAGTATCAAGCATAACCTAAACAACCAAAAAAAACTCTCAAAACTCAATTCATATACAAAAAAAGATCAAATCAAATAATCCAACAGGCGAAAAAGAACATACAGCACAGAGCTTCTTAGTGCTCTTCACAGCAATTTTCAGATTATCAAGCGTCTCCTGGTGATAATCAGCATCTCCCCAAGAGAAATCGAATCTAGCCACTGCCCATAGCAAATAAAAAAAAAAAGTGATCCAGATGAAACAATGTTCTCAGCTCCTAAAATTTTAGTAGCTAATAAGTTACAGATCATTCATCCCCAATTGATTAAGACAAATATATTAATTGATGATATTCAGGAATGGTTTTAAACTTCACAAAATCTCAGGATAGGTTTAGTGATAAAACAGGAGTCAGATTAGTAAACCGGAAACATGAATCACTTTAGTAAACCGGGGAGTAGTAAGTGAGCACTGTACCGGACATGCCGGATTTGAGACAACCGGAGAGAGTCTCGACGGATCGGGATTTGGGACCGAGAGTACCGACGATCTTAGTCAATGCTGGAAAGAAACTCTGCGAAAAATACATCGAAACAGATCAGAGATGCTTTAACAAACGAAATCGAGATCAGATCGGTGGAGAGAGAGAGAGAGAGGGGAGCTTACGGATTTGGATGGCTCGAGGATTGATGCCATCCTGATCGGTTCCTCGAGGAGAAGATGACTCGAATGCATCTTTGCTTAGAGGAGAGAGAGAGATCTCAGATCTTCGACGGTGAACAGAGTGAGAATTCGATCGGGGAGGAGAGAGAGAGATGCTTTTATGTGAATGGGATTGACCGTCGAATATTCGTTACTAACAAACTGATTTTTTCAGTGATATCACGCAATGGAAGTATTTAAAGAAAAAGAAACATGTCGTGCTCCTTTTTTCTCCTTTTAATCCAAATGTTCTCAGTTTATTGTAGATTATGCCCGTAGTTTTTATTTAGTTACCGTTAACCCCACTGCTGGTTTTCGTAAATAACGACTACAGATAGCCACACGATGTCGTTTCACCTATTGGAGTGAATTTTGGATTCGAAGATTCATCTTCTAGATTGTGTTTTTTTTCCTTCTTCTGTCTCTTGTGATAAGGAGCATTAAACATGCCTTTATAGTTCGTCAAAAGTTGACAAAACAAAACAAAAAGTTCGTCAAAAATTCCAACAAATATTCCTGACGTTCTAGAATAATCATCATATGTGACTCCTGTTTTCGTCCCACAAATCTTGGTCAACGTATGGGCCATTGGC